ATAGATAGATAGATAGATAATGCACGTGGGATAAATTATTACAGTCCCTTTGAAAATGTTTATATTCAAATCTGTTTATATTTTTTCATTTATTTTTGTTTTACTTATGAATATAATGTACACAAAAATTTAATCATAATACATTATTATAATATAAATTTATTGCCAACATTGATATAATTATCAATACTGATACAATTATCAATATTAATTAAAGAGTTCATTTAAAGAGAAACTAAAAAACTAAACTTTATTGCATGTTAAAACAGAAATTACGAATAATACTCTACATTTAAACTGAAAACTCTTAGAATTTAATTACTAAATTACCGAAATGATTTACATTTCCTTTCATTCTGCGTATTATTTTTTGTGGATCAATCTGACCACGAAAATAAATCCGGTCTCAAGACCCACCCCAATATCCCACCCCTTGAATAACTGGGGCTACTTTCTACCATGGTCTTAGTTAACCTGATTTTGCTCTCCTTTGTTATCAAATAACGCTCTATTATCTAGGCGATGAATGCTTTTAAATAATGATAACTTTCGGTATAAATCGCAACTTATAAAAGTATGGCGGATTGTGTAAGAAAAAGAATATGTTAATAAATGGATACCCATTGAGCTGGATAATTTGATTTGAGGCTATATCTTAAAATTTCGCAGTCATTTTATAGGAAATAAAAAAAATTAACGATCTGTGTGGTCTGTAGATAATTTTTTAAAACTACATTTCGTAAGTCAAAATAACTATCTTTGATGAAAGATTACCTGAGGGATGAATCAGTTTAAGAACTTATAGACAATTTCGTACCATTTTACCCAATGACCATTCTTTATAGAATCGTTTCAAAAATTTAGTGAAAGGAATAGACATTTTGAGGGTCGCAGATTAATATTAAAATCTAGCCAAACATTGTTAAAAAAGGCAGGGGGGGGGGAAAGACCTCTTTGATTACGAAAGAAAATCCGAGATCAGTTAGAAGGTAATTATTAAAAGCATCTCCAAATTTCATTAATCAATCGAACCGGGTTAGAACTCATTCAGCCTTTCTCATTAGAGATTTTGTTTTCGCTTAAATATCAATTCATGACTCCTAATGTGAGAACTGAAAAAGGAAGATTCTAAAGCTATACATTATGTATATTGATAACGGAACAGCCTGCGTAGATCAATGCTGTGCTAAGTCTGTTAAATATTTTTTTCTTTTATAAGTTAAATAGTGTTATTGCTGCACAATAAATTAAGTAGGATAAAAACTACCAGAATATGGTTTAATTTACCGTGTCTCTGGCTCTATGTGAACACCAAAAGCACGGGAATTTTTACCAAAGCACTTTGACTATGAATGTGGTATAATTGACAATTTCATATTGTTCTATAATAGGTGTAAAAATTTAGTTATTTTGTTATGATACTTTACAGCATGGCATAAAATCATTTATTTGGTTAAATTTACTTTTTGGTTTTGCATTGTTACTAAATGTGAGTTAATAAGAACTGAAACCAGAATTTCTGGAATGAATAACGAGGATTACTACTACTAATCCGGAAACATATTGACATTTTTTGCCGAGACGATGCTTGTATGTCCGAACGAGGTTCTGCTGCCATTTTGCAAATAGTAAATTTAAAAATTTGAATTTATTTCAGCTCCTAAAGATTTGCATAAAATAGTTTTTATTTCAAATATTCGCTTCTTACATTAAAGTGTTTACTCTTTTCATTATTTCAACCTAGTTTTATTCCAGTGGAACTCTGTTCTAAGTAGAAATTAAAAAAGTTCAAATCAAGCAAAAGGCTTAATAAAGCGTCACAACTATAGTGAAATATCCCCAGTTTGAGAGAAAATTTCTCAATAAATTAAAAAATAAATAAATAAAATAAATTTTAATTAACCTTTATTATATTAAGTAGAAGAGATTTTGTAAGTTCCGGAGCATATTTGTAATATTTAAATTATAAAAGGTTTAATTAGTATCTAAACTTGAAATGAGTTCTCAGTTATGGAATTCTGACTCACTGTAAAAAATTCCACTATGGTAAAAAGAAACAGCAATCAGAATGCCGGTACTTTTTATTGTAAAATCCATTTTTACCGTAAAATTTTATGGTACAAAAAATCTGACAAACTATACTTTTTACAGTTATATTCACAGTAAAATCACTGTAATTAAATATTATTCGTGATCGCAACGCTCAAATACGCCATCTGTAGGGAGATCGTTTCCATGTCTTGACCCTCCCCCCCTTCCCTTTCTTCCTCTTCTCAGTTGCATAAGAATGTGCTACGATAATTTCTTGTTTCTTAATATTTTTCGTATTTAAGTGTCAAAACCATTTTTCAAAATTACCACGACGCTTTCGCTTAGAACTATATTCAGGTTTCATTTCCATATAGTAGTTTCCTTACTTAAAAGTTTCTAATCTATTTGAAAATCAAGACAGAAACTAACGCACCTCCTTCTCCTATGACTCTCCACACGCTAATGGTGAAAGGAAGAGAAGTGTTGCCATAGGTAACGAGTTCTGCTCTGCGCCACCTGTTGCCCATTTCCATCGCCAAATGTAAAAATTCATTTTATGAATGCAGCAGTCAGGGTAAAGAAATTTTTACTGTGTAGGCCATTTAAACCGCAGATTTCTGAACTACTACCTACATAATGAAATTCCATACATTATTACCTATCCTATCCATGCATGCATCAACCCTGGTATACCAGGTATCTGATCTGATATAATTTATTTTTATTGTATTTTAAAACTTCAATCATTAAAATTCAACCAATAGTCAGAAGAACAATCTAATCAAATTCCATAATTAAGACATGGTTAAAAATTNATTTTTTAAAACTACATTTCGTAAGTCAAAATAACTATCTTTGATGAAAGATTACCTGAGGGATGAATCAGTTTAAGAACTTATAGACAATTTCGTACCATTTTACCCAATGACCATTCTTTATAGAATCGTTTCAAAAATTTAGTGAAAGGAATAGACATTTTGAGGGTCGCAGATTAATATTAAAATCTAGCCAAACATTGTTAAAAAAGGCAGGGGGGGGGGAAAGACCTCTTTGATTACGAAAGAAAATCCGAGATCAGTTAGAAGGTAATTATTAAAAGCATCTCCAAATTTCATTAATCAATCGAACCGGGTTAGAACTCATTCAGCCTTTCTCATTAGAGATTTTGTTTTCGCTTAAATATCAATTCATGACTCCTAATGTGAGAACTGAAAAAGGAAGATTCTAAAGCTATACATTATGGATATTGATAACGGAACAGCCTACGTAGATCAATGCTATGCTAAGTCTGTTAAACATTTTTTCCTTTCATAAGTTAAATAGTGCTTTTGCTGCACAATAAAATAAGTAGGATCAAAACTGCCAGAATAGGGTATGATTTACCGTGTTTCTGGCTCCATGAGAACACCAAAAAGCACGATAATTTTTATCAAATCACTTTGACGATGAATGTGGTAAAATTAACAATTTCATATTGTTTTATAACATGTGTTAAAATTTGGTAATTTTACTATGATACTTCATGGCATAAAAATCATCCATTTGGTTTAATTTTCTTTTTTAGCTTTACACTGTTATTAAATGTGAGGTAATAAGAACTGAAACCAGAATTTCTAGAATGTATAACGAGGATTACTACTATTAATCCGGAAACATATTGCAATTTTTTGCCGAGACGATGCTTGTATATCCAAACGAGGTTTTGCAAATAGTAAATTAAAAATTTTGAATTTAATTTATCTCCTAAATACTTGCATAAGAAAGTTTTTATTTTAAATATTTGTTTCTTACTTTAAAGTGTTTACTCTTTTTTATTATTTTAACCTAGTTATATATTCCAGTGAAACTCTGTTTTAAGTTAAATTTAAAAAAGTTCAGATAGAGCAAAAAGCTTAATAAAGCGTCACAACTATAGCGAAATATCTCCAGTTCGGGAGAAAATTTCTCAATAAATTAAAAAAATTAATAAATAAAATAAATGTTGAATTGCTTGTATGACATTAAGTGGAGGATTCTTTGTAAGTTCTGGTGCATATTTATAATATTTAAATTATATGTGGTTTTATTAGTGTCTAAACTTGAAATGTGTTCTCAGTTATGGAATTCTGACTCACTGCAAAAAATTCCACTATGGTAAAAAGAAACAGCAATCAGAATGCCGGTACTTTTTATCGTAAAATCAATTTTTACCGTAAAGATTTACTTTACAATAAATCTGACAAACTACACTTTTTGCAGTTATATTTGCAGTAAAATCACTGTAATTATATATTATTCGTGATCGCAACGCTCAAATACGCCATCTATAGAGAGACCGATTTCATGTCTTGACCCTCCCCCCTTCCCTTTCTTCCACTTCTCAGTTGTATAGGAATGTGCTATGATACTTTCTTGTTTCTTAATATTTTTTCGTATTTTAGTGTCAAAAACATTTTTTAAAATTACCACGACGCTTTCGTTTAGAACTATGTTCAATGTACTTTTCATATCCATATAGTTTCCTAACGTAAAAGTTTTTATCATTTGATAAAAACTTTTTAATCAACTTAACAATCAACTTTTAAACTTTTTAAACATTCGTAAAAGTTTTTAATCTATTTGAAAATCAAGACAGAAACTAACGTACTTCCTTCTTCTATGACTCTCCACATGCTAATGGTGAAAGGATGCGAAATGTTGCAATAGTTAAAGAGTTCTGTTCTGCGCCACCTGTAGCCAATTTCGATCTCCAATTGTATAAAATTTCATGGTAAAAATTTATTTTACGAATGCAGCACTCGGGGAAAAGAAATTTTTACTGTGTTGGCCATTTAAAACACAGATCTCTGAACGACGGCCTACATAATGAAATTCAATACATCATTACCAATATGACCCATCAACCCTGGTATACCAGGTATCTGATCCGATATAATTTATTTTTATTATATTTTAAAATTTTAATCAATAAAATTTAAGCCAATAATCAGAAGAACAATCTAATAAAATTACATAATTAAAATATAATTAAGCAATTTGCAATTTATTCATTTTTTGACAAATTCTGAAACAAAAAAAATATTTTCGTGAATTTTATAACCATAGTATGTTGATAGGACCTACCTAACGAGGCAAAATACTAAAAATACCCTACCATCGGCTGAAAAAATGATCGAAATACCTTAAAAAATGCCTATTCTGAAAATTAAAAAAATAAGATGTTTTTATAAATTTTAAAAGTCCCTTCTCTCGAATGATACTTTTCCAACTGGGATTCGGACCTTGGACTAGTGGAGAAAACTGCGTGGTCTTCTAATGAAAATGTCTGAAGACTCCTAATTAAAGTAAAATTATAATTGAATAAAGAAAATAATTCTTATTCAAATGATTTTTATGGGTGAACAGTAATGGGTTAAATAAGCAATACCTATGAAATCATTATTTGTCTTGAATATCTTAACTCCTTCCAAGTAATCAAAATATTCAGAAATTTAGTTCATGTCTGAAGAAATATTCTAATGAGTTTGTTTAGCAAATGAAAAATGGAGATAGAATAAGGTCATCATGCTGCACGATAAAAAAGTTACTAACAGGCATACTATTATAACAAATAAAGAATTAACTATTGTAAATTGATTGCATGCAACTGAAAGTGAATAATTTTCTGAACTATAAAATGGTGCAAAACAATAATAATGAAAAAATTTCTTATCTCAATAAAACGCAATATCGCGTCAGAGACAAACCAAACACGCAATGCAATACTATAGCTTCATTTTTAAACCTCCCGAAAGTCTTTGTTCCTAAGAATATTAAACTCTAAATCTAAAAGCCTGCTTTAGTTTAAATAAATTATACATTTTTATTGTTAAATGTAAATAAGCAGGGTAGTCTAATGAGCAATATGCTTTTTGAAAAGTCTTTATCATTTTTGATCTTTAATTGTTTTTCATCGAATTCATGTGACTGCAAACGATTCTTTGCTTTTCGTGAATATCTATAGATATTTCGAACTTCTAAAATAATTCTATATGATTAATAAGGTTTGTTTTAAATAACTAATATATTAACGAAAACTACAATACCATTTTAGCACATTTAATTCTACAAGCGGTGTAAGTTTTTTTTTACTAGAACTCTGAAAGCTAAACGTGACGGTTGAAGTTAAAAAAGCATAATATATCATTAGGAAAAACTATTGGAGCCAAATTGACGATTTCATTCACTTCTTAAGTACCTCTTACAAAACATTTGAATGAAGTGACGTACGACCGACCTAAAAGAAAGCCGATTCAATTAAATGTAACTTAATTTAGGCTTTTTGAGCGTCAATGGGATTTATTTTCGTTAACTAAGGTCCTATGCACGCAACATAATCGCTCCGAGTGAATCTTAAGGCAGTATTAATGTTTGGATTGCGTGTTTTTTTAAGATTGGCATAGAATAACACCTACCTGCTGTTAAACACTTCAGAACGTTAACTGAGCACTTCAATTTCAAGCTTTGTCTCGAATGATACGTGATTAAAAACATATTTTTTGTCCTGGATTATGCTCCAGTTTAGAGGCTATGTTTGTACTCGCACCTTCATTTTTAAAGGTCTTAAAAATTGAACAATGGCGTTAAGATAAATTAGATGCGCTTTATTGTTTTAAGTTATGGTTATAATTAGGGTAGCGGATTTATTATAGACTTTTTGTTATTGAGGAAAACACTTATAATATTGAAAAAGGAAATATAGTTGGAACAAAATAAAATTGTGTAGTTACGCTAAACGCCGCTTAAAAAATATTACTTAATATAAAGTTACTCTTCAAATTACTTTAATTTTTAAAATTACTCGTACACACTATTCGGTCTTGATTTTATGCATATTTTATGCGATTTTTAATACAATACTTTATGGCGTAATTATTAAAGATAAATTATACGTGTAATTTGTATTACAAATCGCTGAATATATCTTATTTACTAACAATGTTTGATTTGTACAAGGAAAGAATGATGTTAAAATATTCTTTTTGAAAATGAAATGAATTTAATAGAAATCTTAATATTATAATCTGAAATTTCCCTCCTCCTCAATTTTAACACTAGAACAACATGACCACTTTTTGTCATAAACATATTTTTTAGTAATTTATCTTGTGATTTTGTTTCTACTTAATCAAAACTGTGCATTTATTTAAAGTATAAATTAAAAAGGAACAACAATGTTCCCATTCCATTGAAAAAAAAACTTTACAGACGCATAAAATATTACATTTTTGTTTCATTTTTAACTTTCCAGCTTCAAATTGAAATTATGTGTTCTTTTTAAAGGAAATTAAATAATGTAATATTTTAAATTCATTGAAAATTATTTTAATGGTAATATGTTTGCTACCATAATCAAATTTTAAAAGCTAAAGTTTCTTGCTCATAAAATAAAACAGGCAGTAAAAATTAAATTAGATTTGTTATTGAAAATAATTGATATGAAATTGATTATTAAATTATATTTCAGTAATCTTAAAACATTTAGTTTTGATTTTTTATGCATGTTATTAATACCCTAACTATCAAACACCTTGTACAGTTATTAATATCAAAGAGCTCGGAAGACAATTATTCTTGTATATTAGGATTTAAAATTAATTAGACATCTAACTAAGTAATGTCAATATATTTCAGCGATGGTTTGTGTGAGTTAGCAGCGTTTATAGAAGATGTAGATGGAAAAAATCCTCGTCTGATAGATTCTGGAAAAACGAGAGCTGAAATAAAATCATGTGATGAAGAAAATAAAGAAATATGCAAAAACTTTGTTGAAAAGCAGGTGAGTATTATGTCGTGACGATTCGTCAACACTGAAAGTGTCCGAAGTGATAATCGAAAATTAGCTGATTTTTTTAATACCAGTTTTTTTTCATTGTGAATTAAAGCTTATAAGTTATTTTGTCGACTTGGAAGCTGGAAAAATAATTACTGTTAATAAAAAATTGGGCAAATTCAATTGGAAGAATTTATTTTACGATTCTTAAAATCAATTTCTAACGATTTTTTGTTAGAATTCTAAATTAGCAAATTAATTGCTGACTTAAAAGAAAAAATAAAACAATTACAAAATTTAATGTTTCACAGGAATTTGGGAATTCTTTGAGCAAAATAAAGGAATTTTTATTTTAATGTTCAATTTTAAGTTGTGAGTTTCAACTTTTTAAATCATTAAAGCAAGTATTAACGCTTCAGATTATATATAAAACAGTCTTAAGTTAAATAACCTTTAAATAGCTTACAGTTTTCTCCGTCTGTGGAATCAATTGCAGTTCCTTTTTTATAATTTATAACTTAATTGACTTAATGTTTATTTCGACGTAGATAAAATAAATAATATACATTCAGATCCTCGCTATAGTGAACCATTTACAGTCTGAGCAAAAAATTAATTATAAACGTTGGTGCACTACATCCGAAATCCATGAAAAAGATATTTTTTGGAAAATTGAAGTAGTATTGGAAGATATAGTGATTGCAATAGTACATAATTTACAAAATGTATCTTTAAATTTTTTCCTTACAGCGAATTTCCTTCAACAGCAAAATTTTAATCGGAACGTTAAATAACATTCGAAATTTTCTCCATACATCGAAGTGATAGTTTTTTATAACAAATTTTTTAGACATTTATCTTTTCAAATTTCGTCTTCTGAAGTTTTTGTAGATGTTTATCTTTTCTATATCCGTCATTTTTGAAAAAAAAATTGCAATTAAAAGTTGAAATTTCTGTGTACCAGATTTTCTCTACTGTGTACTTGTTTTTGAAACCACTCGAATTATTCATTCCAGCAAAATGACTCATTTTATGCACTCCTTCACTCCTTTATAATGTTTATTAAGTACTAGACTATTCCAGTCCTAGAAATAATAGTAAATCGTTTATTTATCGTTATTGTTCGCCAAGATTTAAACAGAAAAGCACCATCCAATTTATATAAACTCATAGAATGAATAAACAAAAATAAGGGTTTGAGAAATATCGTAAATTGAAAACTAATGAACTCAAGACCCAAAAGAAGAGGGTTAGAGCCGTGGTGGCTCAGGGCATAGAGCGTTGGCTCTCGGCTAGCCCCGATTACTGTGCCTGCAAAAAATATCCTCAGTGTTAGACGGATCAAACTTTTTTCATGCAGAAAGAGCTTGTACTTTCTCTTTCAAAGCTTAAAAAAATGATCAAACAGGTGATTTTTCCATATAAACACAAGAAAAACTTTAAGTAAATACCATAGCAATTAGACTCAAGCGATATTTCACTGCTTAGTGTTTAAAATATTCAATACATGTAATTATTAATTAATTATTATATATTTTGAGCAAACTGATTACTAGGCCCATGATAATGTGCGCAGAATCTCATAATTAATTTACCAGTGTTGGTTATACCAGAGAATAAAGACAATGGATTGATTGAAATTATTTTATCCTAGGTAATTGAAGGCACTGGAGGTGGAAATTTTTCTCTGATTTCAGATGATAAGGATATGTACACAGTAGGTGATGTTCTATGTGATAAAGCTGATGCCATTGAAGAAAATGTGCAAAACAAATACGTTCAGATATACTGGAGACTATGCAGTTCTTCTTGGGAGAAAACTTCATTTAAAATGCCTCAACCTTTATGTTGTGATGACGGCCTACACATTCCATGCAAATTATAAAAATAAATGTACTAAAAATAAATAAAATTGATTTTAACTATTGTATTTTTGTGGTTATTTATACATTAGCAAAAATACTCAGTTGCAGACGTATAGGAAATACTGACTTTTGTTTCCTAATGTTGGGGATAACTATAAATACATTGAAAATTAATAATGAAACTACGTTTTCCAGATTATAGTTGCTTTATATTTTAAAGGCCAAGCACATTTTGCACCGAAAAATTTGAACTAGTGCGTGATAGTTCGAATATTTTGTGACAAGTTATAAGGTATTCAAAGTGGAATTCTACACTATGGAATGTATTTGTATTAGAATTGGGCGAAAGGAATCATCTAAGAGATTCGAATCAACAGAATCAGTTCATATTGGCGATTTGAATGACTTACTGATTCGAATCAGTTGTTTTTATCGAAATAGAAATTAATTATAATAAATAAGTGTTTCTTAAATCACAGTTTGTTTTGTTTCTCAGTGATGCTTTGTCACACAGTTAAAATTTTCTTGTAAAACCTAAGAAATATCTTATGCATTCATTATTAAGGACTTGAGATTTTCCAATTAAAGAATTCGATAAATTCAGATAAAAAATAGAATTCGATAAATTCAGATAAAAAATAAATATTAAAAAAAAACATTTCTTTTGTAGTTTTTTAAAACTTATCACGGTTATAAGTCTTTAGAGCAATTGGAAACACATACAATGTAATTATACGAAATATATATTAAGTATATTTATATACTTGAAAGAATTCACTAATGAGAATAATAAATTTTTTTCTATCGAGATTAGTTAAAAGAAAAGTAGTAATAGGTCAGTAAACTTTTTTCGAATATTTTGAATTTCTTTGAAACAGATTTGAATTGCGTGATTCGCAACTAAGCCGCTTAAATCATGTTATTCGCATTAGTGTTCCAAATTACTAGATTCAAAATGTGATCTGAATCACTTGACTCAAATCGGGGATTTGACTCACATGATTTGAATCATTGATTAGAATCACTTGATCGGAATAGTGATCTGAATCACATGATTCAAATCAGTGAAGTGAATCACCTCATAAGAATCAGTTAGGCGAATCATTTGATTGGAATCAGTGACTTGAATCACTTCATAAGAATCAGTTATTCGAATCATTTGATTTGAATCAGTGACTTGAGTCACTTAATTCGGAACATTGACCCAAATGGCATGATTCTAAATACTGATCTGAATCACTTGATTCGAATCATTGAGTTGAATTACTTGATTTGAATCACTGATATGAATCACTTTATTTGATTAGTGACTCAAATTGTACGATTCGAATCACTGATCTGAATAGCTTTATTCGAGTAAGGTAAAAATGGCGTGATTAGAATCACTGGTATGAATTACTTGATTTGAATGTTGATCCAAATCAAATTATTCAAATCATTGGAGCGAATAGCATGATTTGAATCATATGATGTGAATAACTGATCTGAACCACTTAGTCTGAATATTTGGAACAAAACGTATGATTCGAATCAGTAATCCGAATCACATGATTTGAATCAATAGTCCGATCACATGATTTGAATCAGTGATCCGAATCACATGATTGATTCGAATATCGTTCCAAATTAAATGATTCAAATAGCAATTGAAATTACTGTTTCGAATCATGTGATTTAGATCAATGATTCGATTCAAGTGATTCAGATCACGGATTCAAATCAAGCGATTCAGATCAGTTGCTTGAATCATGTCATTTGGATCGATGATTCGAATCAAGTGATTCATATCACTAATTTAGATCACGTGATTTGATTAAGTATTTCTTATGAAATTGTTGTTAGTACTTAAATCCGTTGACGAGTAAAAAGTCGGAAACAAGGAGAGGAGAAGTGTAAATTTCTTCCCGAAGAAGTCCCAAGCAGCTTAAAATATGTTCAGCTGAAGCCTGATTTTGGTGGCATTTTGGGCAAAGAGGGTAGAATTTTATACCCTGAGAAAAGTAAGACCACTTTTATGTCCACTGGCAAGGCGTGAAAGGCAAGTATTGGTTTCTCTTTTGCATGGAAGAATCAATGACTGTCCCGGTTTACTAGCCCTAAGCCCTATACCAACCATGAGTGGCAAGCCCCGGCCAAATTCTCCTATTTAATCTTATGAAGTGATTCAGATCAGTGACTTGAATCAAGCGATTCAAAATGCGGATTTGTGTCATGCGATTCGGATCAGTCATGCTAGATGCACAAGTGCAAGTCTCCGAGTAAATCTTTAGGGAGCTTGTTCTTGATGGATTCAGGTTCCTCTGACGAAAAGAAGATGAGTTTTCATCCTGCCACGTCGGGGATGCTGGGACACCAACAGAAGCTTTATTAATCTCAATTATTCTGACCAAGATATTCAGATTTATGATTCGAATCAAGTGATTCATAGCAGTGATTCGAATCACGTAGTTTGGGTCATTATTCGAATCAAGTGATTCATATCATTGTTTCGTATCATGTGATTTGGATCAATGCTTCAAATCATGCTATTTGAATCAACTGATTCGGCTCATGCGATTTTGGTCTTTTTCAAATCAAGTGATAAATATCAGTAATTTATATCAAATAATTCGGATGAATGACTCGAATGAAGTGATTTAGATCAGTGACTCGAATCAAATGATTCAAATCACTGATTCGTACCTTTGTGATTCGGATTAATGATTCAAATCAGGTGATTTAAATCATTTTTTCGAATCAAGTGATTCAAATCAATAATTCAAATCAAATGATTTGGTTCAGGGATTCGAATAAAGTGATTCAGATCTCATTTCAAATCCAGTAATTTGGATTACTGATTTAAATGGCATGACTTAAACAACTTAATTGCAAAATATGTGTTTCGAGCCAAATGCTTCAAAAAATTTCGAAATTGCAAAAAATTCTAAAATAGTTAATTTACCGATCACTATTTTTTTAAAGTAAAGTCGATAGAAGATAACGTATTATTCTTTATCATAAATGAATTTTTTTTCCAGTAAATAACTATACTTATTATATCTTTCGTCCAATTATATTTCATATGTTGCTACTTGTTATAATGACTTCTAACTATAATGAATTTTAAGAAACTACAAAAGAAATGTTTTATTTTTAATCTGAATTCATCGAATTCCTTTATTGGCAAATCTTAAGTCCGTAATAATGAATGCTTAAGAATTTCTTAGGTTTCAGATGAAATTTTTAACTGTATATGACAAAGCATCACCGTGAAACAAAACTAACTGAAATTGAAGAGAAAAATTATTCATTCTAATTTAAATCTATTTCGATAAAAACAGATTCGAATCACTGATTTGAATCACCGAATCAAATTAGTGGTTCGAATCAATACCCAAGTCAAATCTGTATTTGTATTTACATGGTATAATCAAGCTAAATTGTACAATTTATGTACATTGTATATAACAACTTATCTACATTCTTTTAATGTATATATACATTGCATTATTTACATATCTCACCGAAAAAAAGCATGGTCATAACTAGCATAATATGGTAAAATTTACCGTGTTCCTTGCTTTTATGGGAACATCAAAAAGCTCGGCAACTTTTACCGAAGTGAATTGGTAATGATTGTAGGAAAATTAACCCACGAGCGTTTGTCTTTCTCGAGGAGCAGACATACGGAATCTAAGGTGAATTGTACTTCAAATGTTGCAGACTGCGCATTTTAAGCTCCAAAAAGCGGATTTTTCTGACGGATCGAATTATTTATTGCGTATGAGAAGAGTGCACACATATAATGTTATTGCAAATAATGGGGAAATTATTATTAAATGCATTAAATAGCAAGTGTTTGTTCGAGTCATTTGCAAAAAATTTAACCTTAAAATAGCTACTAAAAACCGCAAAGTTGATTCAGAGTGCCGTGCGTTCAATGATGAATGGACTTGGAAATAATTTTTTTAAAGTTGTGAAAGATAAACCAGTATGTCTTATCTGCAATGAAGCTGTAGCAGTTTTTAAAGAATTTCAACATTAACCGCATTTTACAGTTAAGCACAAGAATGCCAACTTTGTCTGTCTGAATGTAGAAGAAGGAAAAAGTTTCCTTAAAGAATTATTGGGCGGACAAAATTTTTTCAAGAAGATAAACAGTGTTCAAGAAGCAGCTAAGCAAGCAAGTTACATTGTAGAATACAATATAGCTAAAAAGTAGTGGAAATAAAAATAGCGAGTTAGGCAGCTGAAAGACAACATTGTCTCGTTCTTCCATGGGAAACAATGTTCAGCAAAGTGCGAAATATTAGAAGATACAGAATGGCTTTCAGACTACGCATTTTCCACAGATCTTCTTTGTCATATGAGCAACTTGAATATTAAGATGTAAAATCAATTCATCGATGATATTGGGGCCCATCTCAAAGCTTTTAAACTGAAGCTTAATCTATTTGCTGGGCAGCTAGTTAAAAACGATTTGTTTCATTTCTCGAGGTTAAATTCAATACCCTCAGTAAATAAGGAAAAGCTTAAGAGTTATGAAGATATGACTTGAAAAAACTCCATTTTGAGTTTAAACCCAGTTTTCAAGATTTCATTGCCATTCAAACAGAGTTAGATATTTTTACCATGCCTTTCAACGTAAATTGTGAAGCAGTGAAATTGGATTTGCAGCTTGAATTAATTGAGTTGCGATCTTAACAATCATCTGAAGTAGTTGTTTCTAAATATGCCAAAGTTTGAGTTTTACAAATCATTATCAAAAGCTAGTTTCCCAAATTTAATATCTCATGCCTAGAAAATCAATGTTATGTTTGCTTTATCTTATATATGTGAACAAGTGTTTTCGAATATGAACCTTAGAAAAAATTATTTTGGAAGTAGCCTAACAGACAAGCATTTAGCCTCGTTCCTTAAAATAAGTACATCTCACTTCGAACCTCAATGTAAGGAACTTTTAAAATTGAAATTTCATCCATTTCATTAAAGATTTATATTAAAACTTGTCTATCGTTTTTTATTTTAGAAGTTTTTACTTGGGCCACCAAACTTTTTTTTTCTCAATTTTTTGCCCTGGACCAAA